CTGAAGCAAGTTATTCCAGTTAGCTTCAAGTTTTGGCAACGAACTCCATCCGAGCTTCCAAACCTCCTGTGGTTTGGTTATCCAGTTAAAAGTCAGGTCAGAGTACAATATCAGGTGTGTCAGTAAATGGTGCTGAACGATCCGGTTACAAAAACCTTTTTCCAGAAAAAAACCCTATATCCCTACATGTGCAAGTTTGCTAATGCACACAACAGCAGTGAACTGTAGGCTTAGGCAAATCTTGATCGGCACTCCCTAAAGAAATATCAGTGCTTGAAACAGAAGTTTAGTAACTTCTCCAATTATTAAAAATCAACACTTACCTTGCACTTTTTATGAACTTACTAATGTAATTCTAGGTGGCTGGAACACACTTCCACTTGTTTGGTGAAAGATTATTAAATTCCTGATTTATCACTGGTAACGTTGTAAGCAAAAGGACCAAATAAAGCCCATTGCTGACAAGGCTAATGTAATTTACATGTACTTGTATGTCACTCTTCTGTAGCTACTGAAACAGTAGTCTTACCTTCTCCATGTCCTCTGTATGACTGTAGCAGCATAGTTCTTCTTCCGAAACAGCTCCTTTCTTTTTCTTTCTTTTTCTATTATCTGCATTCGAATCTCTAAAGGGATTAGTTCAATATTTGTACTTTGCCATGTGACAGAACATAACTGATCATCCGCATTCCTGGATCCAATTACGCCTGTTTTTTCCAAGTTCAAACTGTCATCAGGAGCAGAACACGCTGCTGGGTTTCTTGGCACAGTTCTGGTAGGTCCTGCCTCAGCAGACAATAAAGGGGAGGCCTTTTTTGCTAATTCGTTATTTCCCTCTTTGTTAGTTTGTTCTACAGCATGCACGCTGTCATTCCTGGTGTTTACAAATGCTGTTTTGGCACTTCCTGGTCTACTAGAGCCAGCTGGTGAACATCGCTCATCATTTACCTCTTTATTTCTGGGTTTCTGCTGATGCCTTTTGCCTTTGGAAGAAGCTTCACACTGCTTTGAGTTTCTTGCAATTCCACCAGTACAGCTGACGTTGCAGAAGAACACAGCTGTTCCTTCACAGTGGTCCCTGTTGCCAGATGAAGACTGACTTTGATCTCTTAATTTTTCCCCAACACTAGCAGTCCTACAAGCAGAAGTATGCCTTCTGCTCCTCCGAGCACAAGTACCCGTTGCCTCGACAGTGTGCTCCTTGTGCTTTTCTCCATCCAGTTCTGTAGCAGCTGCAACCTTATGTTTCACTTCAACTTTTGTTCCCTCTTTTGCCTTGCCACAATGGAAATGGACACAACTCGACTTGCTTTTGATGTGTTTCCTCAACGGATCTTTAGACAGAGAAATGGAAACCAACATTCAGTCTCTGATCCAGCAAAACATAGTTTATGTCTCCAATTTGTTTGCTCAGTTACCTTTGAGGCACATTAGGATTTACGGAAATGAAAAAAACGTATAAGCAGGAAGAATCAGAAGAGGACACGATTGCCTGTAACAGTACAGTCCCAAACTTCTTCATTTGCTTACTGTTCTACAAGTATTTTTCTTTCTCACGTTACCTTTGAGTTAGATGCCTAAAAAAGTCCACAGGGAGAAACTATTTCTTCACCTACCTGAATATACTGGTGTTCTCCAAAGAAACCAGCTCACCACGTGGCGCCAGAATGCAGCCCCACGAATACACCTGCTCGTTCCAGTGAAGACACTGTAACAGACCTTCACTGTTTCAAGCTTATTTGCTAAGCTTCTGCTCTAGCCACGCTGCATCCTGGCACACGATGACAGACAGGGTAACCCACGGACCCAGGAAACCCAGAGCACTTGGCTTCTCAGTACTTTCCTTGACATCTTAAATGAAACTATGAAGCCCTTCCCATTTTTCCCTTGCTGCAAGATTACTTTTCCAAGACTAGGGTGGGAAAACAAACCCTGTGTGGTAGCTGCTCCTAAACGCTCTCGTGAGGATGGCTCGGAAGCCAGACTGGAGTGCAAAACTGAAAATCTCCGTCTACCATCCACCTTCTATTTTGTTAGGAAACTAACAGGGGAATGAGAAAATAGACCAGACAGGACGAAATGTAACAGACAGGGTGTTAAAGGGTAGGTAAGAGGGGAAAAAGAAAAGAAAGATATCTTTAATATAATGGAATCACAGAAGATCTTCTGGATTATCCAAAACCTGGTAAAACCATGCTACATTTATCCTCACTGTAACACTTTTACAGGATACTCCCTTGACTGGATAACAGAATATGGCAGAGTAACAGATTATACAGAAGAAACTCAGGATTATCATCAATGATGTCTCCAACAGAGAAGATTTATCACAGTGACAGGCCAGTATGGGCTGAGAGGTTATTCTAACTTATACATGATTGTCATATGGGTAATTAGCCCTGTATGTTCTGGGACAAGGGAAGAAAGTCCATTATTTTAATCTATTCTAATATATTATTAATTTAATTAATTTTTAATCTATTTTAATCTATTATTTTAATCTCCCAGAACAAAGAAGGTAAGTCCCTCTCTCTCCCTCATTACCCCAGGGGAACAGGCAATTTAAAAAATGTGCCTTTTGAAGCACAGATTTCTGTGGGCATAATCCCACTCTTAATGAAGCCAAGTACAAAATTGCCAGTGCCATCAATAAAAACGGTATAGGGCTGACAGTCAATTCAAATGTATGAAATTTCCAGCACCGTCACAACACTATTTTGATGTCCCAACAAGTTAATTTTTACAGTTGCGAGGAAAAAGAACACAGCCTTTTAAAAATGGCCTTGTCATACTCAACTCACCAAAACCTGCTACCTGGTTTGTACGCATGGCATGTAGAACGCATTTACTGTAACACATTTAAGTCGTTAAAGTAGTATATGCAAAACTTCCCAATCTGAACAACTGGATAACTGGATAATGGAAAAAACCCATCATTTAAGTATTCTAGATCATCTTTGGAGGTTGAAATAAACCTTCTTAGATAGGAAGACCAAGCAATAACAAGTACAGAGCATAAAAAAAGAACTTACCTGTTACTCCTATAATTAAGGGAAATGAAATAACATACATAGGAAAGAGGATTTCTGAGTGGAGAAGAGATCAGAATAGACCCACCAACTAAATCACAGTTTTCCTATATTGTTAGCAGATCTATTTGCAATTGCTGAAAATCTTTCTAAGCGCCAGCCCACAGGATGAAAATTTATATTTAATTCCGATAAAACATCCAATTAAGTCCATTAAAGTTTTGGTCGCAAGAGGATTGATTAAAACACCTAATGAGAACTGATTAGACGACTTCATGATTTGATCCTTACTGCGCCAACTTTCCTGGCTTCATTCCGATAACAAAAAGAGAATGCTTATGTAAAAATGGCATAGCATTTTATTTCAAACACGGGCTTTTTGGATTGGGCAAGAGGGTGCTTTCTTTACAATCTCTGAAGGTAAACTGGTCTCACTGTAGAAGGAGTAGACATGTTACCATGTATTTTCAGAAGAACCTTGAGTAAAGAGTTTTGTTCTCTTCATTCTCAACACTCATGGTGAAGAAACATAATAAACAATTGTGAAGAATTTTCTATTTAAAATGCTATCTTTCACAGAAATTATATTCTGCTTTTAAAGATAAATTGAAAAGCAAAAAATGTCCAGGCAACAGCCCATATGATTTTAAAACCATCAACATGGAAAAATTATTCTGGCATAGCTACTTCAGGAAATCTCCAACTTCAGGGAAGCCTTCAATCAAAAGTCCAAGCTACATGCTGTTAGCATTTGCTGCCAGTTTGAATTCCCAAGGTTACTGTGAAGGGTAGTGTAGACAACTGAACGTTAATGCGGTTTTTCAAACGTAAGTATCAATATTAGAATCATCTGCAGAAAATTTGGCAAATTCAGTCCTGATCTCTGTAGTCAGTTTGACCCTTATCCATGTTTCCCATGGACTACCTACTACCTACTTCCTTAGGTCATTCTCTCAGTGCAAAACCATTGTATTTGTTCCAAGGAACAGTGGGAGTCTGACTGCAATGCAGTTTCCATTGGCATAACCAATGGAAGATTTTGGCAAAGAATGGATGGAGGAGTCGGTAAAAGAAAAGGCTGTTCATTCCTCCTTTATAATTTCTTTGTCCTTCTCTTCTCTCCCCTTCACTGTTCTAATCCTCCCCACATCCTCCTTTCTCCTTTCTGTTTTTTCCATACTTAGCAATTTCTCGTCATTGTGTTCATTACAACTATCCATTTTTCATTTGGCAACCACTGTTTGTGATTATTCTTATGGGTTTTACTTTGCCATCTGAATATTTTAATTAATATGACTATATGAAAATATAGTCAAGTATTCTGTTTACCAACACATTTCGATGTAAAAGCTAAAGAAATATAGGTAAAACGATTCAGTAGGAACAGGTCTTTGACTTTCTTTTTCTTTGGATTATTGTAATATTCTGATTAGCAGAATTTCCAGACGAATTAGCAATAATTTTACATTTGAGAAGGAGTTGTGCAACTTACCTTAAATAAACCACTAATCCAATTTTTGCTTCTAATGATAACAAAGATGATTTAACATGACCAGTTTTGAAAGATTTGAGCCATGGGCTCCTATAACTGGCTGAAGTCAGAACTGATTGAAATGTTATTAAAATGTATATCTTGCAAAAACTGACATAGGAGTGGTCAGGAAATGATGATAAACTGCTGATGCACTTACATATAGAACAAAGGAGTGGAGCAGGGCAAGAAAAGTAAAAGAAAGAGCTTCGACATACTGTTTCATAGTATAATTTCTAAAAACAGTCTCGTTTCTCAAAAAATATCCTAGAGTGTTCTCAGCAAGGGGACTTCGAAGACAAATCAGGGAGAACCCTGTCATGGAGAATGAAGCTGCCTGAACAGCTCCCTCTGTATGCTAGAGATGTCACTTAGAACAATTTTACCCTTATTTTAACCTTGTTTAAAAACAAGAGTTACAACTGATCCATTAATGTTCTTCAAGAATCCCACAGATATGCCAAATATCTTTAATCCCATTTTCTCCAAACAGTGCAATTAATAGAACAACTCCCAACAACCTGTTCTCACATATTTTAGGTATTTTTACAGACACTGTAGATGCTGGTGTTTTTGACTGCTTAAGTTGGCAGAACACACGCAGTAAAAGAATCTGTATCTAACTCTGTCCTTTATGAATTGCTTAAATAATGAAAGAACAAGAAATGATAGAAAGATAAAACAGGTCCTATATATAAATCACCTCCAGGTATGGACAAAAAAGATAATCAGGACGATTAAAAAAGATTACAAACCTTGCCTGATTTTATGACCTTCACTCTGAGGCTCTGCTGACAGGCAACTCTCCTTTGGTGTCCCTTTGTTGTGACAAGCTTTAGGTGAACCTCTACTGTTTCTCCCTGGTTGAATTTGTGAAGCATTGAGGGAGAGAGGTCTCTTATTCTGTATATCAATTGGTTTATTAGGTAACTGCGAGATGCTGGTAGTCTTCTCTCGATTTGCAGGATTCTGTTGCACTCGAAACCTATTTTGTTCCACGTTCTGCATCCCTTTCTGCAGCTTGGCTTCTTTTCTCTTACTTTCCTCTTCACGTTTCCTGTAATTATAGTCAATACCATAAGAATTCCAAAGACAAAATCTTGGGAGCATGTATCTAACTCAAACACATTCCTCTCTAGAAACCTGACACTGCCACAATAAAACCTTGACTATAACATCTTTTTTGTGAGAAAGGGACACCCATTGCATTGAAGTGTCTTAGCTTGATCCAAAATAACAACTGACTCACAGCTACAGCCTAACGAAGGTTAAGTCCTTATAAGCCAGATGCCCATTCAGTTTGCGGCGGTTTAAACTGATTTTAAAACACTCCCTTACTGAAAACAATGAAACTTAGTTTTTTTATAAATATGCAAAAATTAAAAGGAGGATTTTGAAGAACTGTCAGAAGACAAGAAATAGGATACTAATAACTGTTTTTAATTAGTAATGAACACTGCTTTAATATAAGTAGTAATGCAACGCACTGTATTTGAAAATCAGAAAACTTTAATAAAAGACGTCATCTCTTTGAAAATTATTTTTCATACTTACCTGTGTCATAATTGATACAGACAATTATAAACCAACTTCAAACTAGCTACTGGTACTAACTTGCTGCTATATATTTATCATTGGTAGATAATTAATTTATTTTACATGAACAGATTATACAATATACAAATGTTAAATACTGAAAATATACAAGATGTGAATTAAAAACTTGTGTGCACATAGTATGCCCTTACAATTATGACATTTGGTTTTCAAAAATGAAAGAAGTCATGCATCTCTTAAATAGTGTAGATATAAAAGAGAATTTTGGACAAGGTTAGGAAAGGCGCATCTGTTGAATAAAGTTTTGCAGCCTATTTCGAAATACAGTGGGATGTCATTGCACTTTAGCTTTTAGATTCTTTTTCCTACAAAGCAGAATAAACCCAATAGTACATAGCAAACATTACACACCTACCTACCATTGAATTTGTTTTTATAAATTTAGCACTGGTTGTAAGATGAAGTGACACTTTTCCTGTTGGAATGGACAGGTGGTAAATGTCGTATCATGTAGCTGCCTGGTATTTTAACTTGCTTCCAATGCTACAACATAGTTTGCAGACTGTTGACACATTAGCTCACAGCACAGCATATGACAGGTTAGTTATGCAGCATGCCATCCTCAGTTCCTGTGAGTCGTATCAATGCCAGTATATGTCATTTCAGTGTGAGCTGCCAGGGAGAAGCCTTAACTTTGTCTGTCAGTACTATCTTATCAAGTACGCTCTGCAGAAGAAGCTGATTGAACTTTGTACCTGAAAAGCTGCTAATTGATCTCAAAAATACACTCCCGGCAGCCTGAGGTTCAGTATTCCCTCTGGCACGGAAAAAAGTGGCTAGTTTCAAATAATATTGGCATTCCACAGGCAGACTATGTGGGGATGCGTCTCTCGTGTACAGTATGGATCTCACTGCCATTACTCTGCTGTTTGAGCTGATAAATCAGATTTTACTATTCACAGAATAGTCATTTTCTTTTCTTCACAAGAATCAAGCAGCCTATTACCAGTATCTTCCATTCAGGGTATTAGAAAAGCAAGTGTGAGAGAGGCTGTGTGATACACAATCAAGCCCAAGTAGCCTGCACTCTTTGGATGAGCAGGTTAACTCAAAACATTAACTTCAGCAACATGCTAATTGTAAAGTTATTGAAATGACACAGGACTAGAAGTTGACACGAAGTAAAAGGGGATTTTTTCTGAAAGGTCCTGTTTGTGTGTTAATATTTCAGCTGAAACTGATGAAATAATAAAAGGAAGGGATTTCAAAGCTCCCTATTCATAGACCATCATCCTAATTGTCACAGTAGAGCTTAATTGATTAACAGACTCCTGAAGAATACTTATGAACCTCCCCTTGTGGCTTGCTTTATTTAGTTAGAAATACAGTTTGTTTTACAATGAAGGATATCTTCAAAATTAAAATTTCCAAGTTTTACTGTTGTCTGAGTTGAGAGACTAGGTTTCATGAACAAGTAAAGCAAGTAGGTAAGTTCCTAACTTAAGGGCTCTCAGTCATTCTCAGGGGGTTCTGGCGACTCAGCAGGATCCAAGTTTTGGCTCTAAAGTTAGAAAACTACTCTGTGATAACAGAGCTGGCATGCCAAAATTTTCCACTTTAATTGCAACAGAATTTTGTCCTGAATGGTCATAAATTTGTATTTCATTACAGAAGTGAGAGAATGGAAACTGAGCCTTTAGCAGATGGAAAGGAACAGTTTCAGCCTTAAGCATTTGTGACGACACAGAGATGCTTTGAATTTTTGATCCTGCTAAAATGAAACCAACCTTTTCTATTCTGTTAAGAACACTTTGCTTTTTGTATCTACTCTGTGGAGGACGTTTTAAATTTAGAACATGTCCATGTGCCTGGAGAGCATTTCTAAAGTTATCCTTGCAAAAAAAAGTTACTTAAAAAATCATAACTGAAAACAGATCTCCAGGTATGATCCTACTGCTGCTGAAGCTTTATCTGGACCAAGAGGAGTTATATTTCGTGTTGTATAAATAGCCGTCTCCTGCTGTACAATCTAGCATGATGTTTGTTTTTGAAAGCATGACACTGTTGAATCACAACACGTTCAGCTTATGATCTACTACAACCTTTTAACAGAGAGTCCTTAACAAAAATGTTAAAAAGACAGTTAATTTCCATCCAGTACTCCTATGTTGATTGGTCTTGGACAAATGGTGTAGAGCTGTCCATTTGTCCCTACCTAACCACCTATTTTTTCCTCAACCATTTCTCATATGTATTAACACCATTCTGATTTCTGCTTTAGTCTTCAATGCGCTTACAAGTCTGATGCACCTTGGTGCCATTTGGAAATTTAACATTTTACTTCTTAAATGAAAACACTGCATAGTATCAGATTTGGGATGGATTTATGCAGAATTCTCATCAATACAGAATTCCAGTTTAAAGTTGAACCATTAAGCTACTCTTTGCGTATGTTCTTCCAAGCAATTCTCACCCATCTAATAGCAGTTTAATTCAAGCTACATTGCCCTACTTTGCTAATGAGAATGGCACATGAGAAAGTATGAAAACTTCAGGCAAGTCTGAATGACAGCTACTGTTTCTCCACGGCCACAAAACTTGCTACTTTGTCACAAAAGAAAATTGAGTTGGTTTGATACAATTTGTTCTTAGCAAATTCAGACCAGCCATTACTTCTTGCTTTGTTATGTTCCAGATACATAGAAGTTTGATTACTCATTCCAGGATAAGAAAGGTATGGAGTTACTGTAATGAGTCCAGTGAAAGGCCATGGAGAAGCTTAAGGGACTGGAGCATCCTTCATATGAGAAGAGGCTGAGCGAGCTGGGACTGACTATTCAGCTTGGACAAGAGAAGGCTCAGGGGGGAATCTCATCTATGTCTATAAATACCTGACGGGAAGGAATGAAGAAGATGGAGCCAGACTGTTCTCAGTAGCACCCATTGACAGGACAGCAGGCGATAAGCATGAATTAAAACTCATGAATTTCTATCTGAACACAAGAGAACACTTTCTTTACTGTGAGGGTGGTCAAACACTGGAACAGGTTGCCCAGAGAGGTTGTGGAGTCTCCATTAGCATAGATACTCAAAACCTGACTGGACATGGTCCTGGGCAAGCTGCTCTAGCTGACCCTGTTTGAGCAGGGGCAGGGGTGGACTAGATGGTCTCAGGAGGTCCTTTCCAACCTCAACAATTCTGTGGTTCTTGGGACTGAAGTTTGTATGTCTACAGACTCCTCTTCTTCCCCTTTGAGAAAGCAGACACTGCTCATTTCGTGAATTTTCCAGTCCCAGTGGTCCTCCTAAAGTTTTTAAGGGTAACCATTTTAAGATTGTATCAGTTTTCTAAACACCTCAGGATGAATTTTATCAGGCTAAACTGATCTGAAAGCATCTCACTCACCTGATTAGTCTCTAAACTGTTGTTTCAGTATTTTAGCCTGCATTGCTGCCCTTCATTACTAGTGTGAATTCCGTTTGCTAATGGACATCGTTTGACATTTAAGGAAGACTGAAGCAAAAAAAGACATAGAAACTTCAGCCTTCTTAGCATCACTTGTGGACCAACTCTTTCTTTGCTGTTCCTTTTACAATGTGTATGTTTACGATGATTTATTGTGATACCTCACATCCCTTGCTAGTTGTTCTTATTTTGCACCTCAGCATATTTAATTTTATCATTGTATGTTATTATTACCCTCAATTTTAGTAATTGTGCCAAATTTCCACTATGTGCTTTCCCTTTTCAGGTTGTGAAAGAGCTCACTATTTTCTCTCTTGCTACATTTCCTACCTTTTCTCAGCATGCAGGCCTTACTACCAGTTTTTTGAAGAACCTCATAATCTACTTGTACTCTCTCGCCGCTAGAACATTTTTGGGAATCTATTGAAGGCTGTTTAATGGAACTGTTTTATTTCCTTCCTGTTCTTCTCTTCCTAAATATCACGAGTTACTGACTCTTACTCACTTTCATCCACTTCCCTTTCATATCCATATTCTCAATCAGTTTCCTCCAACTGGTCAGAAGGAAATCCGGAAGACTTAGTAAAAACAAAAGTATGGATTCAGGAACTTATTCTGAGAAATTCAAAAGGAAGGTGAACAAGTGCTGAATGAGTTCTGCAGCCCTTTCAAAACCCAATATATTGGACATCAGTTTTCTCTGAATATGCTTTAAACCCTTAAATATTATTTTCCTAAAGACCTGGTTCTGTAAAAAGTAAAACAAAAGCCTCTTTGTAAAAAAGTTTTAGAAGTCCATCATTTTACCTGTATATAGTCTGACTGTTTTTTAAATGCCTCCTTCCCAGATTTCCTCTGTGCTACTCTCCTAAAGCACTGCTTCCCTCCTGCCAGGTTCTCCATCCCACCTATTAATAACCAGTTACTTTCATTCCCACTGAAGAAAAGTACCTATTATATTGACACATTTATGGCTGTTAAAATGTTTAGTGCTCATATATCCCATCAACATTGCCCTCTTCCAAAAGATCATAGGATGATAAGGTAACACATATTGGAAGGGATCTCAGGAAGTCATGAAGGCCAAAGTTCTGCTCAAAAAAAGGTCAACTATGAGGTCAGACTGGGTTGCTCAGGGTTTTATCCAGTTGGGTCTTGAAAACCTTTAAGGATGGAGACCGTACAAGCTCTTTGGGCAACCCGTCCCACCACTCGATTGTCCCAAGGGTGAAAAAAATTCTCTTTATTTCCAGTCAAAATCTCTCTTCTTTCAGCTTATGTCTGTTATAAGTTTCCCAGGGACCAAAGTGAGGCCAACCAGTCAGCAGTTCCCCAGATTGTTCTTTTGGCCCTTTTTGAAGTTGGGTACAACATTTGTTTTCCTCCAGTCATTGGGGACCTTCCCATTGGGTCACCATCTGTGACCTTTCAAAGATGTTGGAAAGTGGCCTTTTAAGGACATCAGTTAGTTAGTTTTCTCAGCATCCTTGGATGCAGCCTATCTGGTCCCATGGACTTGTCTGGGCTGAGTTCTCTCAAGCGATCCCTGACTTAATCCTCATTCACAGCTGGCAGTTCTCCTCCTCCTTGAACACTTCTCTAAGCACAGAGGCCTGGGAGACCTTCTTGGTGAAGACTGAGGAAAAGGCGGCATTGAGTACTTCTGCCACACCTGTGTCTGTTGTCACTAAATCACTCGCACCATTCAGCAACAGGCCCACATTTTCCTTGCTCAGCCTTTTCCTATTAATGTAGAGGCAGAAGCTCACCTTGTTACCTGTGGCATCCCTTGAAAGCCTCAACTCCATTTGAGTTTTGGCTTTCTGACACCATCCCTACATGCCCAAGCAATGTTTTTACACTCTTCCTTTGCAGCCCATCCCTGCTTCCACCTCCTGTATGCTGCCTTTTTGCATTTGAGCTCTGTCATGGCTTCCCCAAATTGGTCTCCTGATATGTCTCTTTGCTCAATGACATAATAGTGTGCATGTTGTTTTGGCCTGCATCAATCTTCATTTTATAAATTACCATTTCTTTGATATAGGGTTGTTCAACATGGGAGAATATGTTTGTACAGAAATATTTCACAGGCATTGAATACAGTGAATGTAACTTTACCAGAAAATAATACAGGTATGAGTTGTTAGTTGACTTTTTGTTAAGGAGAAAAAAATAAAAGAAAAGAAAAAGAACAGACTAATTAAGAACATGCAGAATTAGGAATGATTTATATTAGTGAGACTCTCTAAAATAACATATTACAAAGCAAGTTTTAAATACATACACTGAAATAATTGGGGGCGTGTGTTTCAATCTAGGAGTTCACCATCATTCTGGATTCCCACATAATGTCTACTTTTATCTGGAGAGCAGATTTTTAAACATCAGTAGGGATATTAGGTTTTTTGTATGTCGCAACACCCTGGCCAATTTTAGCTGTGGAATGCACAGATGGGTACCAGAATGATGACAACATAATGTCCCCTCCAGTTTATTACAGATCATAAAATTGCAATTAAATAAAATTTGTTATGTGACAACTTGATTCGCTTGTACACTCCAATTGTATTTTAATTCTGGTTTTATGGTATTTGGTATACAGACTTTGTTTCTATTGTTTTCAAACAAATCAACAACAGCTTAGTAAGTTTCAGGAAGTGTATCAGAAACTCACAAGGAAAACAATTATAAAAATACCCCCAAATTTCCATGAGGTAATGCTTTTTCATTTTATCTTCTAGATGGGCTATCACAGATTCTTCTAAAAATGACTGTCATCACAAAGAATAAAATTACCTCATTTGGTAAAGTCAGTTGTGACCACACAGCAAGAAGCAGAGTTCTCCAAATTAAAAAGAAATACATAAGATATTTGGCATCCCTGCAAAGGCAGCTTCTCCATGCATGGGTTTGACTTCCACTGACTTCAGCAGAAAAGGCAAATAGTAGGAGGGCTGCAAGTTACAACTTTAGGATCTAAAAATGTGAGCAAGAGATTAGCTATCTGATATTTCTAGCTTTGGCTCTTACTGGGCATTAACAATTATTAACCAGTATTAGCAGTAGCATTCAAACCCAGTGGAGGTCAGACTGGCCAGTTACATAGAATATCAAAATAGCAAATTTGAAATAGAGCAGAGTGCAGCTGACTTTGTCTATGATACACAGATGCAACAAGAACACCTCTACGTGCAATAATTATGTTGTATGTTTATTCATATGACCTCTCTTTACAGAAATAATACTACAAAATCATGCAGAAATCTTTTCAGATCGTTAAGTTTTTTCATTCCAGAATCGGATTTCTTCAAAAGAAATGAGGTGCTAATTTGTTGTTCTTCATATTATGAATCTTAAGGATAAAGTCCAAGCAAACAAAGTATTTTGATGATCATTTATGTACCTTCTGATTTTAGAATTTCACCACTTTGCTACCATTACCTCATTTAAATAGGTAGAAACTCAGTCAGAAACTACACATCTTACAAATAACTATTTGAATTGCATATGTTAGTTATCTATAATCTAATACAATGATTTCATGGTAACTCTCTAGTTGCAATTGAAATCCAGGAGTTCAGTTTGCTAGAAAAGCACAACCCCTCCTGTGAAACAGTAAGCTAAGCCTTATTAAACCAGGCTTTTCCTGTTTTTTTTTTTCTTCATCTACTTATTAATTTCTTTTCAAAATGGATATCAAAGACTTGATAGGTCAATAATTATTTCCATTACCTTAGAGTGATAAATGTTTTCCAAGCCTTTTTATCATAATACAGAATATCAGGCAAAGAGTCACAGATGCCAACATGCTAGTTTCTCAGCTTTTGGTATTTTGCCTTGTTCTTGTATATTAGATAAAGCTTGTTATTTAATTTGGGATTATCTGGAAAACAATTTCCATCTATAGGTGTATGGAAAAAAATCCATTATATGCTTCCTACAGTTTCATGAACTGTACTAAGAGGAACAATAAATGATGATGAATAACCGATAAAATCATACACTGTTATATACAAACTTATGACAAATGTCTATTTGCTGGAGTAGATTCCAAGTCTCAGACTTACTTGGCAGCAGCATCTTTTCTCAGCTGTTCATGTTTCATTAAAAGATTCTTCCTCTCTTGGAAAGCCTTTCTGACTTTGTATCCTTTGTAGACAGCCTGAATTTTGAAAGCAGCAATGTCCTGTATGGCAGCTATAGACAGAGCCCCATGTTCTAACATGAACTGAATCACTTCATGGTGTTCACCAAGCAAGGCATAATCAAGTGGAGTATATCTAAAAAAAACCAAAACCAAAACAAACCCACAACAATTATAATTGAACTAGAATTCTAACCATAATGTGCATTTACTTCATCCTCATTTCATGCTAAGGCAACTTCTAGTATGAAGACAGATTAAACACTGTTTTCAGTAGGCTGTTTTACTAATTTCTTAATATTATCTTCCTGTCTTACTCATTCTACACACCATGACTATACGAAGTATTGGATCAAAATCCTCAAAGCCTTATCCATAGGATCAACTGCTTTACGCAAGCAATCTTAAAAAGGTGTTATTGAGGTTCTCATACAGAAATATAATCTAAATAAAAAGCAAGTTAAAACATTTTTTGTGTTATTTCCATATGAATTTAAGTTCTAGAGATTTACTGTCAAATCTGGCTTAGCTTCTATGACAATGACTGAGGACAGTATGACTGACCAAGCAGCAGGATTACACCTGTATCAAGGGATATTATTTTTTTTTAAAGCACTAGTAAGACTTAAGTCTGTTTTCAAATGGTCACAGGTGCTAAAAATATTAAATGGCTTTGCTTTTCAATGGTGTCAAAGATGCCTAAGCCCTTTTAAAAATAATTCCCAAATTTCCCCTTGTCAAGACAGGACCAAAATTTACATACCTCCCTCACCAACACTGAAACATCAGGCAAAGACATTTAGTGACTGAAAATTATCAGTCACAACCCATAATCAAGACCATGTAATACAAGACTATCAAATAGCAAGTGTCAATGCATGCGACTGTGAAAATTAGGGCTCTTCTTGATGGTAACTTGCTAGGATGCAGTGCTGGTAAGCAAAGAAAGACAGAAAGCACAATTGGACTTGCCACGCAGCAATGATTTGATGGAAGGATTAACAGTATCTGAACTGAAGTGTCTGCAGGAATAAAGACAATGACATAACATGAAAATTTGTATGTCAAGGTGTGTTGCTGGTAGCATTTAAACAGGTACAGATTTTTGATAACCCAGGAATGGGAACTTCAGAAGGGACCTCATTTCAGAAAAACACATTTTTAAAGTATACCTAGTTTTGAATATTTTAATTAACAGGTACAAGACACTAAAAGTCAACTTTATACTACTAGCATGTATGTACCAAGACAATGTATTATATTAAGGATCCCAGTCATGAACACCTGTATTTTTAAACGTGGATTCTCTAACTCCATTAGAGGTACCTTTGAAAGTAAAAAATCACTCAAATCAAATCTAATAGGGGTTTGTGCAAGTGGACACTACCCATTCAAGGCTGCTCACATACAGTCCTCACAACCAGCCATTACTCTGTTGTGTCAGTTCAAAGCCTGTTATAAATTTTCTTTTCTGCTGGTTATCTCTAAAGCAGATAGCTTTTAAATCAAGCTGGCTTCACAGGAAAACACACAAAGAAGATATCAGCCGTCAGCTGTTACAGGTAATTTAGCATGAAGTTGGTCACGCAGCAGCTAACCTGGCATCACGGGGTGCACGCAGGACATCAAGTTGGATTACGAAATAAATTTGCAAAGAACAACAAACCTACCACCCTCCAAACTAGCACTTGATCACGTATCTGCAAGCAAGTGGGCAGCTTAAAATCCTAGATGCAATCTCAGCCCCATCTTTTCACAAACCTATTTAGTTTTAACCACTATGTTTGAATTTTGAACTGGTATCTCATATTGCACTCTGAGAAAGTGAAGAAGGGAAGCGTCTTTCTATAGCTATATTGGAAAAAAAATTACTATTTGGTGAAATTGTTACTGATTAAAAACCAATTTCATCCAATTACGGATTAACCATATCCATGAGCTTATTTTTACTCTCGCTTACAACAGTCGACTTGATTTTTCCACTTTCCAAACTTCCGATCTCTTAACAATAAAACAAAGTTTGTAGATGTTTATTAAGAGGCAATTGTGCAATTTTCACATACAATATATATATTTTTAGGATAATTATATTTAAAGACTGATTCATCTAGAAATATTGGGTATCATCTGTTTTGTTCTGCACATGGACTAGTGCTTAAGGGCTGACATTTAGAATACTGCTAGTTATATTTTGAGTAATCTAGGTTTACGCATAAGAACATATATTAACACCAGAAGGGAAACAAAAATAGATACTAACTGAATGACTATAGTAAAACCACAGCTAAGGTCTTTTCCTGACATTTAAGCATCATTAGCACATTTCTACAAAGTAAGGAAAATAGCAGCCTCCTTTCTGGCAAAATAGTGGCTTTCAATCTTACTTATTAAGAGTAATTTAATTACAACTGTTTATTTAATTTTCTATCAAAAATTACTAAAGAGAGCATTGGCACTACTTAATTAGGAACTACTTATACTTTCATTTGTGTTTCTCAATAAAAAATAAGAACAGAAAAGGAAGAGAGATCTGAGTGGTTTAGAGTAGAGAATGAAAGAGAAATGATGGGAGAAGAAAGAAATTAAAAACTGGGATAAGTATGGAAGACTCAAATTTAGCACTAAAATATGGGGTTTCAAAGTCCTTAAGTTATTTAAAATGTTGAAATATTCAAATTTATATGGCATACTGATGATAATTTTATTTATAATTATGAGGAGGTCATCTACTCTAAAAAAGGCATTATAAATTTCTGCTAATAGTAATTATCTTCACAGTCAGGTGACTAATTTGAACTCCACAACCCAAATCACTCTTAAAAAACTATTATTTATATGTCAATGAAAGACAAAGAAGAGAGATGCAAATGTACTGTCTCTTTATGATTATAGGAGGATTTTTTTTAAAAAACTAGGCCTTTAGAATACAGTTAACCACCAGGTAATTTGTAATCACTATTTTAAAACATAACATCCAATTTCTCCCGTTTTCTTTCTTCTCACCAAATAGAAAAGAAAAATTCCAGTCTACTCCAACAGCAGCAGAAGTGCCTTTTCATCCTTTGCTGTACAATTCCACTGTCAACTTCATATAAATGAAAAAGATCTTTAATATTTCAAGTGGCTAGAATGAGTAAGTACTTGCAGAAATCTCTGTAAGTTCAAGGTTCAAAAGTATAACCAGTTGAAGTTGCAATGTCTTACTTAAAGAAGAGATTTTTCATATTAGAAAAGCTGCTTACACTGAAGCCCAAGATTGCAACACTCCTTTTAGATACAAGATCACGATTCTCTGGCAATATCTGAACACTTAACATTTAAATCAGTAAGTAGCACTTTTGCTAAATTACAAAAGAATGCATTCAGACAAGCAATACCTCTCCTCGCTGTTCTCCATATGATTAGGGAAAGCATCAAAACCAAGCAGCAGCTTTATAGCATCAAGGTAGCCATTGTTACAGAGCCAGTGTAAAGCAGTTCTTCCCTGTAAACAACAGACCAGAACAAAAATAAATATTGTCCCCAAACTCTCTTCTGCCACAATAAAAGTTGTAAATCATACTGTAATTCAATGCTTTTCTGGACATGAAGGACAAACTAATTCTTCTAAATAAACTTCCTTGTTAAAATAAAAGAATACAGCACTTAAAAATGAAGTAACTTTTCTTTTTTTTAAACAAGATTACAACACTAGTGCTTTTTCACCTAAAGCAGCTGAAAAACAGCATTAGGAGACTAGCTCTAGAGTTGTGTTCTTTGCAGCTATGCTGCCCAGGTCTGAAGCAGCTCTCATCAACCTTTGTAGTTCAGACTGGTTTCCAGGCTGCTCCAAAACACTGTGACAAGACTGAAAGAATTACTACAGAATTCAAAATCAGATGAAGTTTGAGGAAAGCTTATCAGCCAGGCAAACAAAGAAAGACTCCAGCTGTGCTTTCAAAATGAGCTTGATTTCAGAAGTCTAGTTTCGCTCACATGAAGCAGAAGTCCAACTCCCAAGATGCACTCTATACACCCAGCTCATATATGACCACTCTTGGGACTGGGATCACAGAATCACAATGCGAATATCTCAAGCTCTGTTAATATCAACAGAACATAGATATTTCACTTCACTTCCAGGCCATGCCTCCTGTCTGCATCTTGCTTTTCTGAACTCCAAATGTAGGAAATACCTAGAAGGCTGGGTACCACAGAAAAACATGAAGACATTCTGAGTTCAGTGCTAGCAAGCCGCCCCCTGAACCCCAAGGGCTGAAGAGCATGCTGCAGTGTCTCTGTGCGAAATAGGTGGAGCCCATGTGTTCAGCTGTACTCAAGCTGATGCCATACAGGTAGCAGGTTGGAAAACCTCCCCAGCATGCTCTGTAGAACTCATAATAAAACCCACTTTTCCATTACCTGGAATTATCCATGCCCTACAGTGAATAGCTACAGAAAAGTTTAACAAATTGGGTGAAATTCTTTTGACTGATGAAGTTCTACTGACTTCTGAGAAATGATGTCATATAACAAAGAAATCTGTTACATATTGCACAATTATTCTGGCTCCTAATTTCACTTACTACTTGAATAATGGCACAAAAGAACATATAAACTAATCAGTGTTCTTTTTTTTTTTCCACCTGGAAGAGTGATACGTATGCGGATACTTATGTGAATAAGCAATTGAAGCAGTTCTTGTGCAATCTCACTTGCAGTATCTTACTTGCTCTATCTCTACACTGAAGAAACACATTACAGGCTATAAAATCACATTTCTATGTCAGCTGCTAATAAGGAACGATAGAAGTTAAGAAATCAGATGATTAATATGACTCCTCATAAGATCACACTTTGATAAGGAAAAGTCAAAAGTGATATAGAAAAATATGAATCTTCAATTCATGCTGCATATTAAAATACTACTTTTCATTCAAGATTTTAGAAGTGAAGCCATAGGCAAAATTATGTCAGGATGCATTTCCTTCCGTGATAAACAGCAGCAAAGATGCCTCTATATCCCAGAAAAGAGAATGACCTTGAAGAAAAGGAAAATGTTTTGATTTATGGTTATTCTAAAGTTGATTAAACAGCCCAGTGAAGAACAACATACCTCTTTATCCTGAATATTTGGATCTGCATTGTTTTCCAGTAACACTACCATGCAGTTAATGTAACCTCCATAAGCAGCACACTGCAGAGGTGTTCTACCTGCATAATCCTGCACATTAGGGTTGATTTTATTTTCTATCAAGATTTGGCACACATCGGCATTTCCTCCAAGGGCTGCCCAGTGAAGGGGTGAATGGCCATCTTGGTCAACCAAATCTACTCTTGCTCCTCCTGTAACAACAAATACATTTTTGAACATAAAAAGAAAATACTTGTGAATGCAAAGAAAAAATAAGTTTATGTTCAACTAGAACGTATTTGGTAAACTGACAATTCGGACAAATATTTCTGAAAGTAACTTCAACTTTGTTACTCAAATCCTAAACCCTAAATCAAAATTAATTGGGAATGAAATAGTTCCAGTGAGGGTCAGGCATCTTTTTTACAAGCTTCTGAGTATCCTCTCAGATGCTTTAGAATCTCCAGATTTGTCAAATGCCCTTGAAAAACCTAGCCTTTATTTGTTTCAGGCCTATTAATTTTCAGTGAAACTTTTATTTCTTAACAACAAAATCACTTTTGAAAATTAGACTTCAGATGAAATCTCTTTTTAAATCTCTAAAGCAGACAAAATAAAATATTCACAGGGTAAGAATGACTTTTGAAAAAAGCCTGATTTTTTTTAATTCAAGCATGCTAAGACTCTCTTATGCAGATAATGAATTTCTCTATGTGTTCTTGTAAGATGTAAAAACTCCATACAAAAATAAAACTCCACAAATATAAAAACTTGAACCAACCAGCAACGACTGTCTATATCATAAAATATTTAATTAAACATAACTCACATTCTGATAAACAAGCTTCTTGCACCTACAAAAGCTAAATGGCATAGGGGTGGGAGGAAGAGCTTAACAGGAGGTTAAAATATGCCCAGCAGATCACAGAGGGAAGCATGCTTTTCAGTAAGAAAGGTTGGTTGATGGAAAACTTGCAACTTGTTAGCCTGGATACTTCAACTGTCCATAAATGGGATAATATCTCAAGTAGGAGGGAGGCTGCTTCCAGCTACTTGGAACGTTTCTGCGAAGCTAAAATGACAGAATTTTGCATCTAAGATACCACTGTTCTTTCACCATACTTCTTACATTTCAGCAGTTTTTACAATTATCTAAAACTGTGTACATTGTTAAATCTTCTTTCTGTCTACAAATAAAATACTGCTTATAAAAACCAACCAGAGGAAAATATTAATGATTTAGGATTTTTGATAGCTACCTTCATTAAAAAATAAAGATTAATTTAAATAGTCAAAAAGCCTTCAAAGAAGCCTAAAAATGCTTTCTCACAAAAGAGAAGAAAGCTTAATTTGGTCTTATTTACTGGAGAAAAAAAAAGAAAGAAAAACAATGACTTGCTGGGTGAAGAGGCAGTTTGAGAGACTAGCACATACTCGAAAAGGCTTCAGCAGAAGAGAGCTGTGAAAAGAACTACCCCAATTTTCAAAGTTTTAGATTTAACTCTTCTAGCCATTTTGCACAACACTGATAATCTTTTACATGTACTACTGCTGTTCCACAAAGGGTACTTACAGACAAAACCTAGTCTAAGGAAGTAATTTTCTACCCCACCTCTCGCTCAGCTATGCTGTTTATTTCCCAGTCCCACAGAAAGCAGCACCAGAACTCTGAACAGGTTTGTAAATTCGTAACATCTGACCTTTAATGAGTGTTTGTATCACTTCTTTGTGTCCCATCTCACAGGCTCGGAAAAGCGGGGTATGTTTCATGACATCCAAAGCATCGACCTGTGCGTTATGTTCCAACAGCAATTTCACTGTGCTGACATGGCCAGAAAGGGCAGCAGCATGTAACGCTAAAAGAATAAAGTAGCAGGAAAAAGAAATCACAATACCATGAGCTTTGGAGGTTCACAATTACAACAGTCAAAATAAAAATTAATTTCAACCATTTTGGTGGAAAAGGTGCTTTTCAACCACAAGAAACTGAAGAATCATAGTAAGTGATCACTAACCACATTTTCTTGCCATACAAGCAATAAGCAGAAAAACTTTCACTCCTAAAACATGTTTCTAACTTGTACAAATAGGAATTTTAACCTTAGCACTGCCAAGAATGGCTTATACTGAGGATTTGTGGAAGGTTAGCAGCTTCTGATTAAGAGAACGTAACATGATCTACTTCTGCCTCTGTTTTGTGGCATTTCTTACATCACCCCAATGGAGATGAAACTGCCCATTGCCGGTGAAAGAAAGCTTTCACTATCTCTTCAATATTTTCCTGAAAATACCTTTTTTATTTCTTTCAAATAAGCAAAGCTGTCTCAATTAAAAATAACTCCAGATAACTACCCAGCTGTTCCTGCCCTTCCCCCCCCCCCCCCCCGAACCACTGTGGGAAATTATTTGGGAGAAAATTTACACAAAATTGTGTAGCAAGGCCACCACATCTCACACAGTATCTGCAGCTCCCTGTTTTCTTCAGGAAAAAGAAAAAGATGACGGAAAGACCAGATACTGCATTTTGTCTCATCCCCACAATTTATGAAGTTCAGTTGTATGAAAACTATGCAAGTTGATTCTGCAGATTCCTACTCTTCCATAGTTTTCTTTGCCCTCTCGTATTTGAACGTATGCAGACTTCACGGAGTCCAAACCAACAAATAACACAGAGCTACTTCAGATACTTTAGACCTCAGAGGTAAAGACATGGTGTCCTATAACTGAAGTTGCTATCGCCTAACACAGCATCCTGCAGGCACTGTCAGCTGGAGTTGAGGAAAATATTGAAATGCCAGTCCGACCAGTTCACGGTTCTTTTTGAAGGAAAGGAGAACTACACACGGCAATGAGATTTCAAACCAATGGAGGACACATATACTGCTGATTTCACTTACAATTTGATTTCAAAATGCTTTGGATTATTTCCTATAGTCAGCAGTCGAATCAGATAATCTACATTCTCATACTGCCTTAAATGTAGAATATTTCACACATGACAAATATTTCACAGACGACAAAATCAAAAGAATTTGAATGAAAATACAAAACAGTGCAATTCATAAATGTGCATTTAGTAAAGTGAATCCATATTTCCCCATGAAGTTTCACAAATATTCATCCTTGGTGAGAATTCAGTCTGCTCAAGCAAATGAAAAGTGGGGCTGTAAACAGTACCTACATGTCTCTACTTGTTTAATGTTAAAACAGGCAGGGTCAGGATCCAGCAGAGGCATTATATAGAAAGGCACACCACGAAGGCCAACGTTAGGAGGATGCTTCTTGAACCATAGCCAGAATATCAAAACAGTCAGGCTTTTTGTGTTTGCCTGCTACTGTTTACCACTGGTACCAGCTTCACACAGCTTATGAAACAGTAACCCAGCATAACCTGTTACACACAGGTTGTTCATACTGTCCGTGAATCAAATCCAGCTGAAGTGTGTTGCCTTAAAACACACATTCTCAAAATTAGTGAGAGTAACTGGAATTGTGATACAGAAAAATGAGGCACTTCCTACAAGAACTGGGGTCGCAGCCAGAGGCTGTATGAGAAGTGCTGCCTTAGTAATTGAAATCATGCCTTTAAGATGACACTGATGTTTAACCGTTGCAGCTAAAAAGCATAGGGGCACTCATTGCACTCATGAGAAATACCTGTAAGCAGCAAGATCTGCAGTAGCTATGCGAGTGGGTGGCTATCAGTAGAAAACTGACAAGAATGAGATCCCTGCCGCTTCATACATTTGGCCAGGCCTGGTTTTCATGGTCTGACCTCACAGTAAACTCTAGGTTCTGGTTTTTGTACTGCATTTCTTATGAAACCAAAGGCAGTAAACCACTCCATCAGATGACACATGGGGTGTATAACAATACAATAGAAAAAGAGCTGCTGTGTCAGCTTGGCCAGTTCTGCCCCCCTATCACTCATTCTGACGCAGGCATCTTGTTTTGCACTTTGTGCTCAATATTTTCTTGTAAGCCAAATTTTCTGTGATGGAGTCACGGTGACTGAAGAGATTCTTCGGCCAGCTGGTCACAATAGGCCCTTTGTTCAGCCGACAGACAGAGCCCTCTCCATTGTACGCAGTGACGGCAGAGCTATAAAGCTGCCCCTGTAATGCTCCTGCAGCGCTGAGCTCTGAGAAGAGGGAAATTCCTTTCCCTTGGTGTCATTCTCCTACACAATACGGAGAGTCTCGATGTTCTCGCAAAGCTGAATGGAGAGCTTGCTCTTTTTAAGTAAATGCAAAAGGCTGCGTTAACGCAACATTATAACTGAGCTTAACTGAGTCGGCACACAAAAGTCAGAAAAACACAACCTTGAACTCTCCTCAGCAACTGTATCCCGGGCACGGTGGCATGTACGCTATTTTCTATTAGTGCATAGTTTCCCGTCAGAATACAACGCTACTTTTCCCTCACCAAAACTTGGGAATGATTAAGAACCTTCGGAAAAAAACCCAGGTCTGAAATCAGAGAGTGATTTACTGGTGGGCTTCCTTCTAAGTTTACAGCTCACTATAATAAAGCCCATGCTACTGCACATGCTTGCACAATGGTAAAGTTCAGATTGCTCGACAGCAAGCGACGAACGGCATAGTTCCCCACTTTAAGACTATTAGTGTATTCTACACAACGGCAGTTTCAAGTAAATGGAAAATCCATTAATTTCCTTGGATTAAAAGCCCTACAACAAAATCAAGATTAAAAGGTGATTATACAGCACTGCTATGAAAGGTTTAAGACTGAAAGATAATAAACCCAACCACCTGAATTATTCAAGCATGAAATCCACACCTGGGTAATTTCAGAAACACAGTATGTGATTGCTGTCTGCAAAGAAGAAAACCCTTTGTAAGGAGGTTTGCACAGTGACTACAATATTACTGCACCTTAAGGTCTGAAACAAATACTGTGAGGTATTTAAAAGGGAACTGTCAGGAAGGAGCAAATATAGGTGAGACTGATAAAAGATGAAACAAGACTATAATTGTAGAGTATATAGTTTGTAAAGTCATCAGACTGAAGACTGAGATTTTATTTGTTGCACTGTTTCTTAAACTCAGAAATTACCAACTATCCTGACTTGGAAAGACTGATTTTTTGGTGTGTTAATTTGTAAGGAAAGCAAGAATTTAGATATTTAAATAGAATTTTATGGTAACTGTATTTGGCTTTTTGTGTAAAGACCCACCATACCACCAAAGGAAATAAAAAAATTCATTTTTTGAATATGAAAGTAATATTCATACATGCTATCTTTCAAATCCTGAACGACGCAACCCTGACATTGCATTTATTTACCATTTGTATGTTATTCGAAGTGTGATCCGAAAAGATAAAAGCTGTTAAACTCGTATCTTTGTTTCTCGGTTGGGAGAGATCTACACTGCAAATTCCCTAAACCTAAGCATGCAGCTTAGGCTAGTTTGTGTGTGTACAATGAAAAGATAATGCTCGAGTATACTTTAAAACAACTATATTAAAATTTACATAGACAAACATTGCAATATACATTCTTGTTTGTTTAAAATAACATAGTTTTCTATTCGGGAGAAATGACCTTTACTGTATTATTCACAGGTGTGTGCTCTGACTATCAGCTTGGCTATCCCTTTACAACTCATTATACATAGGTATACATTTTTGCACTTAACTTCTAAATTTGTGACCTGGCTGTGACTGGCACAGGGTGGTTCATGACCTCCTCGGTAGTTCATGACCTCCTCCCATATAGCTTACCTCTGCAGCCCCCGGCTACCAACCCCCTCTGATTTATGCCCAATATATCCACGTTCTCCTCTTTTTTTTTTTCAGATGTCATCAGCACACTTATACAGCTCCACTACTTTTACCTGTATTTCCAACACTGTTGAATACATATACCTTTCAACACCTGTCTCTCTGTCAGAAATGTTATTCAATTTTTCTTGAAAGACTACATAGGTACAATATTTCTACCACAAATTCTTATAATTTTTCATTAAAGGAGATAAATTCATAGTTGCTACAGGAAATTTTGAATTTCATGACTTGCATGCTTGAATTCTGAAACACTGTGTTGCATACCTATCTTCTGCTTCGGGTAGATAATGGGATGATAAACTTGGGGGATATAAAGTTTAACCTCTTGTTTGGACAACAGAAGTGCAATAGCTCTAATCTTTATTACGCTATCTTTACAAGTAACTATGGTACTTAGGATTTTCACGATGATAATTTAGCCACTTCACCGGTTAGTTTCCTCTATATTCTTTCAAAGTATTTATTTACTGACAAATTTTTTAACAGGCATTTTCAGGGAGGGCTTTTTATGCAATTATATTTCATTTTATTCTTCAAAATACAGAACAGCTCCTCCTTTCCCAGGATTACAGACCTAACTAAATAGCAGCATAGCAGTACATTTCTTCTTGCTATGTTTCAAATGAACTGGTCTGATCTGCGCAGAAGAGATCTGTTTCTTTCCCACAATAAGGCAAAGAAGTGACCCACACATATAATTAAACTAATGAAGAAATATTTTCAGGATTAAGGTATACATCCAGGAAAAGATTATAGCTTCTAACAATGTTCTTTATTTGGTGGAAATCACACTAACTGGAAACATCCAGTGGCTCTTTACTGTAAAGCATCTTACCTGTGCCAGCGTATTTGTCTGTCATATTGATATCAATATCCAATTTTAAAGTCAGCATAGTCCTAATGACATCGTCACTGCCTTTGCCAGCTGCCCACATGAAGGATGTTCTTCCCTCAAGATCTGAGTCGTCTTTTACAGAAGGATGTTTCAAAAATACTTCAACTGTTTCCTGAAAAGACATATTATTGAAATTAACATTAAAAGGAATCTGTAACAACAAGAAACTATTCTGTCTCATTTAGCTGTTTATGAAGCAAATCAAAGCTTCATTTTTCCTTTTTACGTCTCTATAGATTAATAGCTCAACAGGAGCACTGTATTTTCTGCAATGGCCTTTTCCTCATCAATGTTCATAGTGCATCCTTAACTATGAGTTTAACGCTGTCATTGATTTCATACTTTTTTCTTTTTAGTGTCAAACATCATGCGTTCATCATAAGGAAGTAAAAGACACTGCAGTCACTGTGAAGAAAGCAATGGGAAAAATATTATCGGCTTATCAAAACATTACTGTAATACTATAATGCTAAAATAATGTTCCTTCAAAACATTCTCCTGACATATTTTTTTGCTCCAATTCTAAATATGACTGTACATGCAAATATTTTAATTTGCCAAACTAATAATTTAACTATTAAAAAAAAAGGACTTTTGGAGCAATATAGACATATTTCCTAATATTTAATAATATCAACAGGTTACTAATTACTGAAATATTACAAATCAAAAAAGATTAAGAAAATCTTTACACCTGAGTCCAGGCTTTCCACTGTAACTGTTGCACTAAAATCTCTATTTAAATCAAAGCAAAAAGAATTCTTTCTTCAAATGCTGTGTTTGTGTTAAGCTCTCAGCAAACAAGTCCACTTGTTTAACCTGCTGCTAAATTCTTAATAAGCCATAAAGGAAAAGAAGGGAGAGGAAATCACAACTGCTAGAAGAACAGTTAGGGGAAGATTTTCCCTTTTCTATCTAATGCCTTACAAAGGCTATGTATTTAACATCTCTTAAGAGCCACTGATAGGCTAGCCAATAAAAACTGAAAATTGGGTTTCATTATTTTATTATATTTTTATATTTTAGTATTAACACTATTTTATCTTTTCCCCCATGTGACTGCAAAATAGCTCCATCACTGCTCCAGGTAGGATGAGAATTCCTTGGCTAGAAGGAATCAAATGCTTATAATCACAAAGGTGTTTAAATGCCTAAGTCCTATTGCTTAGTTTGGATTTTTTTTTAACTTCTACTTACTATTTCATCCCTCTAAAGAAATAGGAAATTTCTCATTTATCTTATGTTAATGTGATCCAAGATCCTAACAGCTTCGTGGATTTGGGTCCATATCTGAACCATCCATTTACTGTAAAAAGGTCCAGCCAGAAATAACAAGGAATGGAAGCATTAAGCCTTCCACACAAACCAGCATGTGTTTATAGCTTTGTGTACTCACACTGACCACCACTACACCTCAGACACAAACGGCTACTCATTAGGCCAGCCACTCAGCACCCTACCAGTACTCTGCACTGCTTGAAATCCTGCCAAGTGAAAAGCAGTATGAAGGCTGGACCTTTTCAATACTAGGGCACACATCCTACAAACATAAATAAGTAATTTTATTTTTCCATTAAGTTTTAGCAAAGCAACGTTTCTTTCAACCACTCTTTTTTTTCCTAGAGTTTTTAATGGGAAAAAAAGTGGAAGAAAGTCCCACAGTGCTTTAAGAGTTATTTTCCAAAATGAAGTTATCATAATGTGAAAACAAAATGAAATTAAATTAGAACAGGATGGTTAAAAATTGGAAAACAGAAGTATTAATCAGCTTAATTCTACATGTATTTTGTAATGAAAAATCACATGTATTTTATCTCTGTTAAAAAAAGTAGAGAAAACAAAATAAAAAACAACAAAGCTGAAAAAAACAGTAAAGGATAGAAGTAAACCCAGATCATTTCATTCTGTGCTATCAAGAAACTCTGAAAAATACTGAATATTATTTCTGAACATTCAAAAATAAGACAGGGGTATCCACATTTCATTTACTAGCTCAATCTATGTAAGTATGTGAAAGGGAAGTACATTGTCTTGGACATCTCTGGAAAAATGCAGAAAAAAATAATATATATTTAGTCCTGCATACTAAAATCAATACTAATAGAGCATCTGCCTTCATGCATGAAGTTCAAAAATTTAAAAACAATGTTTATTTGGACCTTCTGTGGGATACATAGGCCATCTAAATTGCAGGCAACCTATTTGGGTGGTTATATTAGGTAACTTTTCTTCTAGAACTTCTCCTTCTATAATAAATGGGGATAAGTTAGTCTTAGAGAACAAATTCTTCACATAAATTAAGTGCTGGCTAAGTGACTTCAGTCTTTAAAAAACAAAAATGTCACGTTAGAGTAAGTAACCCGCAGAAAAACAGAGCAAAGAACAAGATAGCGAGTTAAGTAAAACTGAAAGCAATGCAAATACTTATAATAAACACAAAAGAACAAACTTTCTTCTTGTTAGGGACTAAGAAACATTGCATTCTAACTAAGAAACATACCACGCCTATCCAAACTTGGGCAGACTGAACAGAACAACAATGTGGCTCTCAAACCATATATATATAGATGCTACTGCCAAAACAAACACGGATGTGTCTCCACTCAGTTGTTTGACTATGTATATGGAATGCAGTGGTGGGAATTACTCAAGGATTTGTATGTAATCGAGAAAAAAAGCAAATAGTGGTGCTCAGAGTGTTAAAAAAAGAGAGAAGCTCCAGACATAATTTAGGCATGCATAAACAGGGGCTCTTGGATACATCACCAGCTAAAAGAGGCTTGCAGATCTGAATGAGACTCTCCTGTTCGATTCTTCATATAAGATGGGAAACAGTACATTCATTGTAAGTACACAAGATTACAAAAGAATGCCTGATGCCATCACCTACTCTATTTCCCCATAAAAACCTAAACGATATCATAGTTTGGCTGGCTGGTGGGATCAAAAGGCAGCAACATAAGGAAGATGTTTCATACAACTGAATGAAACCCAGAGAAAGCAAGCCAGTATGAAAAATCATCTTTTAGGAATGTATCAATACAGAAAGGAAAAAAAAGATAAAAACATGTGGAGATAATCACCAGATTGTAAATAAAAACATTCTCTCTTTCCCATGAGTCGGACTCAAGCTAGAAAGAAAGGCTTTTACAACATGCATATTTTAGGCGTGTGAGTGAGACCCAAATTGTACATGCCACATAATGGACAATAATCAGCATCAATAAAAGATCTCTAAAAAGGTATAAATTATACACAAGAGATATGCTCCACTGTAAGTCTGAATTTAAAAAATATCTGTATGGTCTTACTAAGACCACCTCCAAAAAACCCCACCAAACCCCCAAAACTCACTCCCACAAGGAAACAGAAGGTGACAGCTGTGGTATTAATATACATTGGCCAGTTTCCTCTTTCAGTAGTACTTCTGGATTTGTTAACTTGAATGGTTCTGAAGGGCGTTAAAATTTTACTTGTTTTATGAAAATTGACATATGGGTAGGCAAGAAAGACCCAAATTAGTATCCCTGTTAAGAAAATGCTGCAATATGCCCTACGTAACTACATCAATTAAGGCACTAAATAACCCTTTTTGTAAAGGGAGGTTATGAATAATACAACTAAAGAAAACTTAGATGGGAGCTCTCAGCTTACTATGCATGGCATAATTCAACTATGACAGACAGAGAAGCATAAAAAAGCCTTCTTAAGTTCCAGTGCTTGAGAACTACTTCCATAATAACATCTATGACCAGCAATTGTTAAACTGCTGAGTTTTATACTTAGCTCTACCGTATCTGATCTTGCTCTGGAAAAAAATTATCTACCCTACCAAAATATAAGAATTAGGCTGTCTGAGAAACCAATTTTCTTTGTCTGGATTAAAGAAATATTTTAAAATACTAAAAACGTCAAGAAATTTTTAAAAATATAGTGTTCATGGAGAATTGTGACAAAAGGTACTCCCTCTTTAGCCATGCTTTATGAGACAACGGCTCATTCATAATAGCAAATATTCATAAGTTAATCACCTTCTTGAAGGCAAGGACCGGTTTGACTGGTACTGAAGCAGCTGTGCAAATACTCACACAGGTGATCTTACTCTAGATACCTTATAACTGCTTAGATCTTGCTATAATGAGCCTTAAAAAGTGAAAGCACTGTAAAATAGCAGGTGCCATTCTGCTTTCTATTGAAGTACCTAAATGACTATTGTGTGTTCTGATGCAAACATATAGATCAAAGGGCCTTTCTTTGTACAGCAATTTAGTTTTTTAAAATCTATTTTTAATAGTTTGAAATTAACCACATTTATATCACATAACAGAGGAAAACTCTGAATTAAGCTTGTGCAGACAACACTGTGTTTATATGAAACACTTGGTTACATTATAAATATTTCAGCAAAATATATTTACTTCACATTTAGGGTACGTGCTACTTACAGCAAAGTTGCTCTGCGCTGCATAATGTAGGGGTGTTGCACCTTGACTATCAGATGGGATAGTTCCAAACTTATTTCTTTCTAATAAGAGATGGACAATCTGTGCATGACCTGAGAAAAATAATATAATAAAACCAGATATGTATCGAATCCTAAAGTTAAACATTTCCCTATAAAAAACAACCAGACAAAAATGAACAGACTTCAATAAATAATAGTATGTTTGTGTTGTAGCCATTACAGTCTAAATATAAGAGAGAAACATAAGACTTGATATTTGAACTATTAAGCCTGGCATGCACTTTCTTCCCAATAGTGTTCCAGTTCCACACTCTGTATCCTCATTTTTGAGGGGCATCTGTAAATCAGAATGACCTATGAATAGGAACATGTGGAAAGATTTTCTATTTCTTTCAAAAGAAATCACTAGAGCATTTCCCTAAACAAAGAAACCAGCAGTAGCTGGTCAGACAACTATGATATTAACATTGCAATGAATGAGTTGAATATTTCCAGAAAAAGCTTCTGATAATTCAGCTGAGATGCTGCATCTGAGCGAGAGGTCAGTCAGAAGCAGTAAAGTGAGCACAGACTGATGATGATGAGCATTTGTCCATCTACATTAAAAGGTAGGCTAAATCAACATTGATAATTTCATCCTACATCACATTGTTTTACAGAAATTAAGTGTAAATTCTTTACTTAGGTTTTATTCGATCAAAATTTCAACTGAAGATGTATAGCAGAATCTGGAGGCTAGTCTACTACCAGCTGCCATAGCTGCAATAAACAACAAACTGACACATACAACTCGTTCCATCAAAATAGATTAGAATGTTTTTAGATTAAAATCACAACATTTTGGGGGGGATGGGTAAACTTTATATCCACCTCACAGACAGGAAAACAAAGAACAATATCATATATTGCCACTGAAGTCAACTGATCCTTTCATATGCTTTCTTTTGTAGGCATATGCAGCTCACAGCTCACAGAATATCTTAATGATTTGGTATTTTAAGAGATACTATAAGGCATAAATCACATAAAAATACTCTGATTTTACAGGAGAAAAATCTCCCAGTATCTTGCCTGTGGGGAAAACAATCAATTTTGCAGCCTGCTACTTTTGCACAGTTGACTTGAATTACTTTAGAATAAATGAAAAAAGTAGGTAAACCTTTCTACTAGCAGTAGACTTCTATTAATGAAAACACCGACAATTACAGAATAAAGCTGTGTAACACTTGTGGTCTGTAGCTTTTAAAAACCTAAGAGATGGAGGACTAGGCAAGCCTTCTTTTGTGGAATGGCACTTTCAGACTTTATATGTATAGAAGTATCGGAAACGAGAGAAAATGGTCAACTTGGGTCAAAAAGGATGAACCAAATGTGGGGATTATTTTTTTTCTAGGGGCTTTAGGGTGTACAGAAAGGCTCCTCTTTCCTTTCAGCCATTATAGACAAGCCTGGACCCAGAACATCACAACATCCTGTCCCTTCCAACCAGAAAAATACTGAAAAGAAGAGATGCAATGTTGCTATGCTCTTCCCATCTCAAGACTATAAGAAGTGAATTGAGGTGCACTGGAAGAAGCTGGTTCTGAGTGCAATCCTAGCAGGAAAAACATAGGAGTACTGAGCCTGGAAAAAAGGTTGCCTGAACTTTCAGGACACACAACTAGAAAAAGGGTAACTGAACTCTGTATTCAGGACAGGAGGTCTGTCTAAATTATCTACAAGAGAAGGCTTGAGGGAGTTGAAAAAAAATTTTGTATTGGGTACAACAGTAAATAAATTGGTGCAAAGATGGATCTCACTTGGACATTAATGTAAACATTAGAACTCAATTCTTGAGGTCAAGAACTGTCATTTCTGTAGTACTTTCATTTAGAAGAGATGTAACTTGGCTGAGACTTTTACCTACACAAAAGAAAAGGTAACAGGAGCAACAATGCCCTAAGATGCAGTCACATGCAACCCATCACCTTTAACAGATCATTTGTGGCTGTATCCATGCACTACTTAAAACCTCCTACTGTTAACCCATTTAGGAACATTTTAGACTCTTTGAGATCTATATACAGCATCCAGTATCTAACTTAAAAACAGAACCCTAAAAATTAATCATGATTTACCATTCAGAAGTTGCCCATGGGCATATGCCACCTAGAGACCTCACCAAGTTCACAAAGGACTCTGGAGGTCTTGGCACATCTTCCCCTTTTATTCCACATTGATTAGACAAACCATTTTTCCAAAAGACAAAACTTCTCCCTTAAATACAATCAATTTCAAAACACAATAAATTTTGCTTCTTGGACAGAACCAAGTGATAATGACTAATTCTTTGGGAGACAGATCCTATGACACTTAAAATGTTTCACAATTTCTCTGTAAAAATTCACTATCCCTACTTGAATGCAAATGCAAATCTGAGAACACACTTTTTTTTTTTTTTAAATAAATGTAATCAAACTACATGTATATTGTCACTGGAGTTGCAGTAACTCGCTCCACTGAGCAGTCTGATTCTTTTATTGGCATTCTTTGTCTGCAGTGTCCCAGAGGGTCGTGGGGATGAAGCCTGTTAAAAGGGGAGAGAGAGTGTTTGAAGATTCTTTCCTTTTATCCGGTACATGGTGTTTATTTTTTCCTTCTGCATATAGGAGAATGGAAAATAGGAGGTCAATTTTCTAAATCATATTATTTTTGTGCCTGTCATTTTATGAGTTGCATTTCCCTGTATTTAGACTATTTCTATTTAATCAGGTTTTTACCTGTTTTGCAAAGATCCAGTTTTGTAACTTGTAAAACCAAACTGTGCAGAATTCACATATGCAAAGTTACAATTTACAGAGCATCTGAGTCTCAGGGTAGCAATCTGAACAGAAAAAAAACTTCATCTGAATAAAACTTCTTGTCAGATCTGATTAGATTGTCATAATGTGTCTGATGAAGAGCTTGTACTAGGAGTAGGAGAAGCGTCAGCTCTGCCATTTTCTTGTTGTTCATTTGTGCTGGCATTATCAGATTATCTGTGGTTTCTTTGTGGGAATCTTTTTAAGTCACTTGTTTATTTTGTGAGGGGTAGTTTAGTAAAAACTAGATAATATAATCCATAAATCCACTTAACCGGGCACACGTAGACTGCAATACATTGCAATAAGCTGAAAGTAAACAAATGAGTGATGACACCACTGTCAACCCCTCCGCGTTGTGGAGCACTCACTTCCCTCAGGCACCTCACAAACCCTATATGACTGTCTTACATATGGACCAAGTGAGGGTGCTAGCATCAATCCGTATAGTAAATATTAGTAGAGTTTTCTTATTTTTTCAGATAAAAAATAAATATGAACAGAAGTTCTGGTATTTTCTTCATGCACTGCATACACGCTGGGGTGTGCACACCCCGCTTTGGACACCACTGCTCTAGAGTACCAGTGGTTTTTTTAACCTATGAACAAAGCTACATATACAAGAACATCTCAATATGCTCTAATTGTTCTTAAATCATGAGCATATATAGCCTGCCGAAGTAATATATTTTACAATGCTGTGGAGAATCTGAAGCTAAGAAAAAAGTCTACAAACTTCTAGTCCTGGTCTAGCAGAAACTATTATTGTTCTAAGAGCTTAGTTAGTGTAATACCAGGCTGGAATTAAATAAAAAACATAGACAAAGATTAAACACCACAGTCAATTAATTACTAAATGACTTCAGCATTGTCCAGTTTACCAAGTAAGGCTGCCCAGTGAAGGGGAGTTCGAAACAAGTTGTCGTAAGATGTCACATTGCAGCCTTCATAGGAAGTCAGGACATCAACAACTGCTACATTCCCATCAGCAACAGCAAAATGAAGGGGAGTTCGTCCTTCGTAGTCTTGCCAGTTAAGCAGAGATTCTGTAGGTGCAGCTTCCTTTAAAAAAAAAATAAATACAAAACTAAAAAAAAGTTGAAGAGAAAAACTATATATTCTTTACAGATTTTTTTTTGGGAGTCTTATAATAAGGAGATAAACTGTCCTTGTTCAGTAGAATATAGCTCTACAACTAAATACTTTTGTTACAGTATAGGCTATTTTCAAGTATTTCTATGGAATTTTTTTTTTTTACTTACTCAATTATTGCACAAGACCTGATTTTCGATACATACCCTGTAGTTTACCAGTCTGTTGTGCAAGTGGCTCCCTACACAGATCTTTAAAAGATTAACTCAGGCTCTTGTAAAAATAACTAGATCTTCTTACTTGATTTTCTAAGTTGAACGTGACATATATATATCTTCATATTTTTCTCATAGGAGAGAAAATATCCCCCCTTTTTGCACAAATTAATCTTATGGCTTTCATTATAATACTTTTCTAGCATTTGAAAACCACATGACTATCAGAGTATTTCTAAAGGAGATGTCAAGGTCTGTAGCTGACAGAAGTAAGATAGAGAGTACTTCTAATGAATGCATCTATTTGTAATGGGCTTAATTTTGAATAAAAAATCTTTTAAAGTATTGTGATGTCATTTGATCACATAACATAGGCATTAATAGATAGAACTTGAGTTTTCATCACATTTTCTTAGAAAACATGCTAAATTACTTTCACATAAGGCCCCTAGCTATATAGTTTCATATTATGATAATTTCCTCTCTCATCAACTTTTTTCTAGACAGATTTCTCTTCATGACTTTCCTTCTCAGGCGAAAGAACAGAACAGGTACAAATGGACATCATCTTAGCGTTGCAGAGATCTCCAAATGGCAAACATCATAAACGCCCATGAAATGCAAACTTTAAACTTCACTTTCCTGGAAAAAGAGGTATCTCTAAAGAAAATGGTAAACAACAAAACAATAGAAACTCATGATGCAGGACACCAAATATCTAGAACAGGAGCAGAATGTCAAAACAAGAGCTTAAATAAACTATACGGAGTAAGTCTGCTGTTCTATCTCCAACAATTCAGAACAATTCACTGAAGTCATGGGAACCCTGTGCAAAAGAAAAAAAGAATGTAGTCCTGAGATTTTTAACTTCCGACACTAGAGTGGATTTTAACCCATGATAACTGACTAAAACAATCCTCCTGAAAATACAGAGCCACACTGTATCTTACAATATACTTATGAAAGAGGAGGGAGAGACTGTGATCAGTGCAGCTTGTTAACAGTTAAAGCAAGTTCCTGATCCCTTTCTCACTAAACTAATTGCAATTTTTCCTATTGACTTCACTAGGTACACAAGTAGGCCATAAAATCACTTGTATTTGCATTATTTGAAATGCAGTAACTATTACATAGTTAACGAACATCTAACATCGAGAACGATAAATTGAGAAGCAGAAAAAGTCAGGAAATTCTAGAGTTACGGTTTCTATCCAAATATTAATTGACTGAGGTTGCACATTCTATATGTTCTATTTAATAGATTTTAAAAAAGTACATTTAGAGTAATATTTAACCATATTTCCTAAGTGCAAGCTGGCTAAACTAATACTGCAGTAGTAACCTCAACTCTGCAATGCCCTGATTCTTTGTTTCTTATTGTCATACTTTCTAACAGTGCCAACTTAAACCTCCTAATATTTGATTAATATGTTTTCTAAAGTTAAACATTTACATACTTTGCATACTGTATGTAAATGCTAATTAAGTTGCCTGTCTCACATGTAAAACTGCATCAGAGTTTCAGATATCAGTAGTGTTAGCCATGTTTTGCTAGAGAAAAAAATTAACATACTTGAAACACCCTGTAGTTTATTACTATATCTAGCCACTAGTACAATAACAGATAATCTATTAAAAACATAAAAAATTGATAAATGTGAATCTCAACTAAAAATACAATCAAAATAAACATTGTTACATGTACAAACCACAATAATCGAAGCATGGATAACACTTCTTTTAATAAGCATTCAAAAGCATTTATCTGAGCCATTACAGTGAAAAGTGAAGTTTCATGTTCTTCCCTACCTTTAATAATTCTCAAGAGAAAGCTAACTGATAATATGCTTACTTTCTGTCTATTCAAAGAGCTCAGCAGGGGGAGTATAGAGCCCTATGCAAAAATTCAGAAATTATCTTTATGAGAATCACTTTTAAGAATGACTAAAAATGAATGATGATATGCACAGAAGTTATTACTGAAATTCTAACTCCATCAGCGGAAAACCTGTTTGAACAAAATGGACAAACAAGAAAACAAATGCTTCTTCGCTTTACCTATGATTTATTGATGTCATCCGGAAAGCTAATTTTCAAGCCTTCTAAAAGCACAACGACATATTAAATAAATGACTCCTAAAACTCCTGGCTCAAAGTCACTGATGTTACCCAGAACATATCCCCATAATCAAAAGTGTTACTTTTGCAAAATGGTGCAGAACCTTTTAATGACAAAGCCACTACTTATATTCTAGTCTAAAAGTACTCATGTGTTTTGAAATTTTTGGCCACTTAAACTAAAATTTCCTAGGCTTCTTTCTGTCTACATTCAAGAGTATAATTTCTATGGATTTTAAGTGGGTTTGGTGTAAAACTAGCTATAATTAAACTGTCATACTATGTTAATATTTTAAGCACAATACACAGAAGAAACAGAAGCTATGCGTTTTTCTGCAGCAATTAGAACAACGGAATTGTAGGCAATAATGGAAAGTGTTGTATAAATAAATGTCATGTCTCTTACCATGAAGAATAAATAAAGAGAAGAGATACAAAATAGACAGAGAGTACTAAGCAGTTGCTTCCATCATATTAATGGAACCTTATTCTGTTCTTTTCTCCTTAAATCTTCCCAACGTTTTTCATGTAACCAAGCACTGCTGAATCTGGAAAGATGGAAAAGGAAGTTGACCATGAGAGGATCTCCAGATTAGAGTTTCTCTCTACTTCACGTTTACTTTCTAAATATGTAATGAGTTCCATTTTCGCTGTATTTCATGGATTTCAATATTAGATATAACCAATTTGTGCATAACTGTCACCCCTGCAAACCCAACCTACTTCTTCAGCATTCAGTTGAGCTCTTTTCATTGTTGTTTATTTTGACAATCCCAACGGGCTAAGTACTATACAAACATCAAACACACCCTTAATTTTATGAATTTATAAACAGGAGACAACAAATGGATACATCCAGATGGCAGAGCACATAAAAACAAGACAGTATTTTTCAGTATCATAGACTGTGGTCTCAATAAAATCAGCAGCTTAACTTTTGTCAAGTTTTTGTAAAGCAGCACTGGAGAATTCTGAGTAGGACACTAGAGAAAAATAATTTTCTGGGGAATTCTTCCAGAGTGTTAAAGATAACATAACATGAGAGAAACAACAGCAGTGTTGTTTTTCATAACTTAGTCAGCAGGCAACAAAGGCTGCCAATGCAGATTGACCAGCGGTAGATATCAATATCTGACTGCTATCTGAGCAATGGCACATAGCTTGCAGCTTATAGCACTCTATCATGAAAGCAAAGAAAATGGTTTGTGTTGGACATGATTAAAAAAAATGGAGAGGCAACAGTGACACAGAGTTGTAGGCCTTTTGCACTGCTATTACTACAAGACAATATTTTCTCGTGAACTTAGAAATGCAATTATGCAAGTTAAGACAAAAGTTGACAGCAATTCTAACTGTATGGGTACATACATTAGAAATATCATGCAGAAAGAACGTGAAAAACTATAAAGTTAAGCTGGATGTGAAGACCTAGAGAGGAATGAGAATCAAAGGTGATGCTTGGGCAATAGATCTGGAACTGGGTAATATGGCAAAAAGTAGCTAAGAAAGGAGGGAAGATTGTGAGCTCTGCTGGGTAGATATCTATCAAGACAAGTAAGAAAAACACTTCAGTTTGGAGAGAAGACAAGATCTTACTAAAGGACTAAACTCAGAGGCACCACCAACAACAAAAAAAGTTATTTATACTTAACAGATTCAATCAACAGATTGATTACCTAGTAACAATGTTTCTGTATCATGAACTTTTACAGCATATTCTGAAAGCTAAATTACTTTTTCATTTAAACTTGTTATTATCTTACTCCATCAATAAGCATATATAGGTATAACTATTTGGAATATAAATAATTTAGATGATGCATGAAAAAACCTAGATGAAATCAAGAATACACTCTTTTAACTGTCAGAGTAAAAAAAAAAAGAACCAAAAAACCTGGGCATGATCAGAATTCTGTATTACCTAAAGAGAATCTTTGAGAACACCTTCAGTAAGGAGACAGGTATTTTTGACCTTTTGCAGTGCATCTGGCTGGGATGGAGTTAATTTTCCTCGCAGCAGCAGGTATGGTGCGGGACTTTGTGATTAAAACTGTTGATACACCGATGTTTTGGCTGTCACCGAATAGTGCTTGCACAGCATCAAGGATTTCTCTTTTTCATGCCCTGCCCTGTCCTGCTCCCCTGTGCCACCCAGGGAGTGGGCTGGGGGTGGGCAAGAGACTGGGAGGGGACACAGCTGGGACAGCTGACCCAAATTGGCCCAAGCCATATTCCATACCATATAACATCATGCTCAGCAAAAAAAACTCAGGGAAAGGAGGAGGCAGGGGGGATGCTCATAGCTACACTGTTTCTCTTCCCAAGCAACAATTAAGTGTGCTGAAGCTCTTTTTCCACTTTCCTGCAGTGGCTAACATCTGCCTGCTGATGGGAAGTAGTGAACAAATTCCCTTTTTTGCACACAGCTTTTGCTTTCCATACTAAACTGTCATTACCTTCATCCATGAGTCATCTTGCCTTCCTTCTGTTTTCTCCCAGTCTCGCACGAGGGGAGTGAGCGAGTGGCTGCGTGGGTGTTAGGCTGTTGGCTGGGGCCAATCCACCACAACTTTTAAAAACATTTACCTTGACTATCTTTGAAAAAGATATTCAGAGATTTATTTGAAAAAGTCTGTATTTGAATACAGCAATCCTTACCTACTTTTCAGCAAATTTATTTCCCTAGCATGGCAGAAAAGTAGATGGTATATACAAACTAACACTTTGTGACAAAATTTTGTTTGTGACAAATTATTTCACAACTGAGTCCAAATTATAAATATCTCGAATAAATAGAAGTAATACAGAAATAAAATCACATTAGTTTAACACTGTAAACTTCTCAAAAACTGTTTTTATAGTAAAAAAAAGTATCAGTAACTGTAAGATTATCAATGTGATTTGGAGAAAAGCAAAGCAAATTTTCATATGCCACACATAAGCTCTCAACCTGCAAGCTAATCAGGCAAACAGACATAGAAGTCATTGTAGTTAGATTACAATCAATACGTGTCTTGTTCTGAAAGACCTTTGAAAGACAAAGATATAGAGACATTGTTGTAACATGAGAGAAAAATTCAACTGAGACTTCTGTGTCTTTCCATGTTAGTGAAATTCAGAGATTTCCACAGAATAAAAATTAAGGTAAAAATCAAGCTGAGCACGTGCTTCCATTGTACTCATTATAACTGTCAGTGTAGAAAATGAAACTGAAATACTGCAGAAAGAGAAAATATGCCATCAAGGAAAAATTACTAAATCCATATACAAGAATATTTGGAAAGTCTCTCAATAAACTGATTGTGGGCTGACTGATAATTGATCAAATATTTCCCAGAATTCTGACTCAAAAGACCAAATTAAATTAGACTTTTCAGTACAGTTAACTAGAAATAAACTTTTAAATAATGAAGAAAAGACACACAACAAAGAAATCAGTGTGCAAGATGCAACTGAAATGAGTAATGTGACTGGCCATTTTAACTAGGAGAACTTGCCACCCCTTCCTCTCTCCCTTACCCCCCCAAATGAATAGTTACACACATCAAACTAATTAAGAGAATATATATAGTCCATGAGTTAGAGCAAAGACATTCACCCATAGAACTCAGAAGAAACTCTTTCAAGAGAGCAAAAATATTTAAGATGCTTCCTTACAAAATTCTGGACATTAGGAAAAGCAAATTATTTCATTCTCAAAGGGTCGGTGGACTAAAATGAAAAATTTCAAGGGAATAAAAAATATTTCTATCAGAGTAAAGTAATAAATACAGAAAGTGTTATATATATAATAGACTTTCTTACCAGAATACATTTCACTGTGTGAATTGCACTAGGGTCCTTGTTGTTAGCTGCCCAGTGAAGTGGGATTTTTCCTTCAATATCAGGGATTCCAATATTCGAATCGTGTTTTATGAGAAGTTTCACATGCTCTGGGTTATTGTAGTAGGCACTCCAATGCAGTGCAGTTTGCTGGAACACAATATTCACAAGTTTTACAAACATGTTGAAAAATGAATATAAGATGAAAATTGAAGTCGGTTAGAACCCGAAATATGATTTAACTATATTTTCACAGAATGAAAGAGATCACCTAGTCCAACTCCTCTGCTCAAAGCAGGGTCAACTAGAATGGGTTGATAAGGACACTGTCCAGTCGGATTTTTAGTTATCTCCACAGAGACTCCACAACCTCTCTGGACAACCTGTTCCAGTGTTTGACCTCCCTCACAGTAAAAAATATTTTCTCAAGTTTAAACAGAATTTATTATATTTCAATTTGTGCCCATTGCCTCTTTTCTGTTCACTGGAGACCATTCAGAAAAGTCTGGCTCCATCTTCTTTACTGCCTCCCATCAGGTATTTATACACATTGGTAAAATCACCCCTGAACTGTCTCTTCTTCAGGCTAAACATTCGCAGGTCTCTCAGCTTCTCCTTGATGTCACATGCTCCAATCTGTTAATCATCTTTGTGGCTCTCCACTGGACTCGCTCCTGTATGTCTATGCTCTTACTGTACTGGAGAACCCAGAAGTAGACACAGCATTCCATTTGTGCTGCCACCAGTGCTGAGCAGAGGGGAGGGACCACAGGTAAAACCAGCTTAAAACAACGGGTAAATGAGCAATCTTTTCTAGCACATCAATAAAGAGGACTGATAGAAAATGGAGCATATGTACCTAGGGTGGGTGACAACTCAAAATGAGTGGAAAACAGGCTTTAAACAAAACTGAACAAGAGGCCCATCTACCTGAGTAAGAGTAGATACTCACACATCTTTGCTACTGAAGTCTGAATTAGGTCTAAGCTACACCATCTTACATGAGACCCACACTGAGAAGCCTGCTTGGAATCTAAGTGTTTCTGGTGGGAGACTAATTGCTTCGTATGAGGATTTCTGGGACTATGGCAGGATAACACTGTCCATGCTACTTAGCCAGCCAAGAGGGCAATGCCATCGGGTGCAGCAATTTCAGGCCTGAAGAAAATATCTGAGCTTGGTATTAAGCAATCCTGTCCAAGTTAGAATGATCATCTGAAGCAGGCCTCAGCACCAGAGCTGCACTATAGAACAACTGCAGTAATTAGTTTGGTCCCTCTTGAATTTGGAAATCTCTTGGAATAACACAAATTGATGGAGAAGCATATAACAAGATTACTCTCCACTAGAGGAAGATGGCACTGAATACTGACACTGGACTTGGTTCCATCTTAGAATCATAGAATCATTAAGGTTGGAAAAGACCTCTAAGATCATCGAGTCCAACCGTCAACCCAACACCACCATGTCCACTAAACCATGTCCCTAAGTGCCGCACCTACACGTCTTTTAAATACTTCCAGGGATGGTGACTCAACCACTTCCCTGGGCAGCCTGGTCCAATGCTTGACAACCCTTTTGGTGAAGAGATTTTTCCTCATGTCCAATCTAAACCTCCCCTGGCACAACTTGAGGTCATTTCCTCTCGTCCTATCACTACTTACTT